AACTTGCATGATAATTATGCATGCACTGTATTTTTCCTCTTCTGCTGTTGAGGTAATGCAAGGAATGTTGTGACTGGTTGTTAAGGCAGCCAATCAGAATTTAGCAGCCTCGTCTCTGATTTGCTGGAATTATGGCATATTGTAATGCTGGGTTGTGTTGAGCAAGCGAGCCATTGGCATTTAGAGAGCACTGAGGGCAGGCATCAGGTGAGCAAGCTAGTGAAACATTGCAGGCGCAAAAGAGAAGGTCTGCACAAATCAAAAAAATTATCTTAAATACAAAATTGATTTTCGTGCGCTCTAAATACTTTCTTCTTTGCGAGACAAACATTTTCTCCACAAAACTCAGTTCACGTGTGTGCAAAACGCACTTTCGCGTGCTCAAAATATGATTGTTCACGCGCAGAATTGTGGCAGAGATGTAATCCCATATACTAAGATTTCAATTAGTTACAAGGGGTATAGAAAAGAATCACCCCCTTTAAAATAATCACATTTTGTTGCTGTGCAGCCTGAAAAAGGATCACCCCCTCCTAAAAATGACTTTAATATAAACTCAATCAGGTGTAGCTAATTACCTTCTTTTGATCAGTCATTTTGATCAGCTCAGCATGAAAAGAGCTTTCCTGGAGCATTTCAGGCCTTGGTAGTGCAACTGAAGCAAACAATCAACTATGGGTGGCAAGGCACTGTCAAAAGATCTCCAGGATAAAGTTGTGGACAGGCACAAGTCAGGAGATGGATACAAAAAAAATGTCAAAGGCTTTATCAATGCCTAGAAGCACAGTGAAGTCTGTTATTAAGAAGTGGAAGGTATTTGGTACAACACAGACCCTCCCTGGATCAGGACGTCGCTCCAAACTGGATGAAAGAGCAGGAGGAGACTGGTCAGAGAGGCGACCAAGAGGCCTGTTCTTCTTTGCGAGACAAACATTTTCTCCACAAAACTCAGTTCACGTGTGTGCAAAACGCACTTTCGCGTGCTCAAAATATGATTGTTCACGCGCAGAATTGTGGCAGAGATGTAATCCCATATACTAAGATTTCAATTAGTTACAAGGGGTATAGAAAAGAATCACCCCCTTTAAAATAATCACATTTTGTTGCTGTGCAGCCTGAAAAAGGATCACCCCCTCCTAAAAATGACTTTAATATAAACTCAATCAGGTGTAGCTAATTACCTTCTTTTGATCAGTCATTTTGATCAGCTCAGCATGAAAAGAGCTTTCCTGGAGCATTTCAGGCCTTGGTAGTGCAACTGAAGCAAACAATCAACTATGGGTGGCAAGGCACTGTCAAAAGATCTCCAGGATAAAGTTGTGGACAGGCACAAGTCAGGAGATGGATACAAAAAAAATGTCAAAGGCTTTATCAATGCCTAGAAGCACAGTGAAGTCTGTTATTAAGAAGTGGAAGGTATTTGGTACAACACAGACCCTCCCTGGATCAGGACGTCGCTCCAAACTGGATGAAAGAGCAGGAGGAGACTGGTCAGAGAGGCGACCAAGAGGCCTGCAGCAACTCTGAAGCAGCTGCAGGAATTTATGACAGCTAGTGGTCATTGTGTGCATGTGACAACAATATCACAAATTCAGGGACTGGAGCACTTGTCAGGATAGAAGGAAAAATGGATGAGACAAAATACAGTCAAAATCTGCTGCCCTCTGCCAGAAAGTTGTCAATGGGAAGAAGGTTTACCTTCCAACGTGACAATTACCCAAAGCACACAGCAAAACTGAGCACACAGTGGTTGAAGGAGAAAAAGGTGAATGTCTTGCATGGCCTAGTCAGAGCCCAGACTTAAACCCCACTGAAAATCTGTCGAATGACTTGAAGACTGCAGTCCACATCATCAAATGTAACTGAACTTGAGCAGCTCCGCAAAGAAGAGTGTGCAAATATTGCAAAGTCTAGATGTGCATAGTTAGTAGAAACAAATCCCAACATACTAAAGGCCGTAATTAAAGCAAAAGGTGGTTCAACAAAATACTGACACATGGGGGTGATTTTCCAACTCAGTGATTCAGTTTTTTTGTTTTTTGTTTTCCTTACATGTTGGTGTTATATCTTTCACTTGGATGTTATAAGTTGCACTGAGTAAATGCAGCTGAATAAAACAAAAACTGTGTCCGTCTTCATTTCAGGTTGTAAAGCAATAAAATGCGATTTTAAGGGGGGGGGGTGATTCTTTTTTATACCCACTGTATATTATATTTTATGTTAAATGTAATCAGGGTGCCCACAGTTTTCTGCTTTTAATTCATCTCTACCGGTTGAGAGATTTCCATTTAAACTTGATTTAAATTCAAAAGGTGGTTCAATAAAATACTGACACATGGGGGTGATTTTCCAACTCAGTGATTCAGTTTTTTTGTTTTCCTTACATGTTGGTGTTATATCTTTCACTTGGATGTTATAAGTTGCACTGAGTAAATGCAGCTGAATAAAACAAAAACTGTGTCCGTCTTCATTTCAGGTTGTAAAGCAATAAAATGCGATTTTAAGGGGGGGGGGTGATTCTTTTTTATACCCACTGTATATTATATTTTATGTTAAATGTAATCAGGGTGCCCACAGTTTTCTGCTTTTAATTCATCTCTACCGGTTGAGAGATTTCCATTTAAACTTGATTTAAATTCAAATCAAATAAAATTACAAAATTAATAAATTTTCCAGAAATTTTCCAAATTTCCCCTTGTTATTGCTTGACAAACAAATAGTCTCGACCCCAAACTCACAGCATCTGTTGATCAAAAGTACAGTAGTTTTTTTGAATAAAATTTACTTTTACGTTTATGCATTAGGCTTACAAAAGAGGAACGTTAGCAGTTCATCACAGAGCCAACATTATTCATAGTGCATAATGCTAGGTTTATTTAGAAATCTACAAGTGGTTTACTTATGGCAAGTATTATTAATAATGACTTGGACAAGTCCAATTGATTTGTATAGCGTTTTCGCAATACGCATAATTTTAAAAAGCTTTACAGAAAGTCTTACCAACGGTTATGTCAATAATGCATTAATGCTTTACCATAGAGCAAGATTTAGGGCTGGGCAATGACAATATAAAACAGTGATACAAGTGATTTCCCAGATTTTAGATTTAGCTTATGCGTATGTCTAAGTTTAATATTCCAAGGCCTGGTTTTACAGACAGGGTTTAGGTTAAGCCAGGATTAGGCCATAGTTCAATTAGGACATCTTTCATAAACGTGCCTTTGAAAAGAAAAGACATTACTGGTGTGCATCTTGAGACAAAACAATGGCATTGACATATTTTAAGAGATGTCAGTGCAAGTTTCTTTCAGTTCAAACAGCCCAGACATGCATTTTAGTCTGGGACTAGGCTGAAGCCTTGTCACTGAAACCAGGGGTAAGTCTTACTTAAGGGAAATTATTACACATTATAAGGAAATATATTCCTATAAGGGTATAAGTATGTATTACACAAACATACAAACTGGTTTCCATGTTTTATGGTGACATTCCATTCTATTCCAGACTCATACTGTACAAACTGTATTTTCTA